AGTTGTGATTTTTGAATTTTCATTTATTTAAGAGATAACTTTTTGTTTTCTGTTATGCCTTGTAGTAAGCTGCAATGAAGTAGGGAAGATGAAATTAGGAGCAACAGACTTTCTTGGGTTGATCTTTTAAATCTGGACTGCTTTTGAAATTTGAGAGAGATTTTTTTAAGAGATAGAATTGCTGAGAGGGACAAGTTAGGGCTGCCAGCATCTGCCACTGGGGATCACAGTGTTGAAAAGCATGCCAAGGAGATTGCAGAGGTTTAAAAGCCCCCATCTCTTCCCTATTCAGGGCACCCTGGTTAATTGCTTACAGCATGCAGAGATTCTAAGAGATACTAATAGGGCAGAGAGTGCAGATGAGAAAGAGATAGCTCTCAATCTGTGGTTCACTCAAGATTTCACACTAAGTTTCAGAAAAAGTACAGACTTTATACACTCTTTGAATATCCTACTTCCTAATGGTTAAAATTTCCAAAGCCAGCTTATCCCCATCTCTACATTTTCTCTCTACTGATTTCCCAGAAAATGCTAATTTGATGAACAGGTATTTATATTATTAAGCCTTATAAAAACCTTAAAATCTTTCAAAGATGCTAAAAAGACATTCAGAGGATATATCTGTCTATATCTTTACCTATGAGGACTTTCTATTTGCAAAAAAAAATCAATGATCAGTTATGTTACTTGCCTTGTTACAGTATAAGTAAGCTGGTAGAGGTAGGAGGGTGATCTGGTAATTTGGCCTGAAGCTCTGAGAACTGGTGAGAAAGTTTCAGCCAATGCCTATATTCTCTAATAAATTTCTTGTAGACAGTAGAGGTATTCACAGTCATTTCAGTATTTTTTTAGTGCTGCTCTTATGCTCCTATAATAAGCATTTAATACTTGTTCATTATTGTTGCAGCTGGTATTTCTCCTACTAAATGGATTTTTAAAACATTAATCTAATATTTCTTTCTTTCACATCTGTATATCTCCTAAATTTATTCAGAAGACACAAGCAAGTATCTGCTTGCATCTGACTAAATAAAAGCGACTAAGAAGCTAGTTAAGCGCTGCTACACCCATTTGTCTTTCCCTTTGCTCTCAATGGTCCAACTTGTCACTCTGTTGAACACTTTCTGCTTCACTGAAAACCCATCAAACATTTCCAAATCGCTAACTCATTAACAGAGGATGGGGCTCCAGGAATCTTGTTCTCTCATTGTCCTCACTATGCCTTATTAAATGTTCCATTCTTGGAGAACCACTCTGAAACAATAAACAATTGAGAAGTGGATATTAATTAGTTAGTTTTAAGGGTGTGAAACACTGGTGAAGACAAAGTAAAATGGAGAGAAAATCTGAGATTATCTTTGACAGCAGAAGGATAATGCATGACTTTGGTAGCTGTTCATAGGTCACTGAATGTCAGTACTACAAAGGCCCAGAGCTGTGAGAGCCCAAGGAAATCATAGGCAGGGCCCCGCATTTCACCAGTAAGAGTAAGAGAAGCTGCAGGAGTGGAAAGGAACTTGTCCATGGTCAGTCAACATTTCCCAGATTTCCAGAAACCAGCTGGCTTTTGATTGTATGACCTCTTTGCAAAACATTTTCAGTTACTTGGGCCACTCAGTGGTAGCCTAGTGAGAATTTGGATAATCAAAATGACATACTAAGTTGACCATCATTTATATTTAGTTCTGTTAAGTGTGTTTACATGGACAGTCCAATGCATGTGGGTCTAATCTGAGAATACAAAACAACTTTAAATGAAACAGCATAACTACCCTGAATGTCTGATTTGGGAAGAGCTCATAAACCTTACTGAATGGACAGCATCTTATGATGTTAATATAGCAGGGTATGTTAATTTTAGCAAGTTTGTTGATTCATACCTTTCCTGGTCCTCAGCCAGGTTACAAGGAGGGTGGTAGAAAAGGAAAAAAGAAATGTTTTATAGAAGAGATATATGTAGATGTCCTTTTCCCTCCATCACATGTTTTCTTTTCTTTTGCTTTATTTTTTAATTTTTTGTCTTTCTTCTTTCTTTCTTTCTTTCTTTCTTTCTTTCTTTCTTTCTTTCTTTCTCTCTTCCTTTCTTTCTTTTGCTAGGAACATGAATATATATGCCTTGTCATCTATATAAACAAAAGTGTGGCTGAGTCATTGACCTGGGAGAACTGTCAGAAAGGCAAACAATAAATGCAAGACATGATGGATCTCAGGGATGAAGAAGTAGAGGATACAGGAGACAGACCAGTAAGCAATCATAAAACAGGGCCAAAATGCCTGGAAGAGTAAGGAATCAATTGTATAGCTCAGTAAATGGCCTACATATGGAAAAGAGCTAGTATGGGGCACAGTCCAGGGGGTCTTTAGCTAAACAGTTTCATTTTCTCTGAGAAGGACCTTGGAACAGAAAAAGGAGCACTGTCAACCTGAAGCTGTAGTTCAAGAAAAGAGTCTCTGAGAGGACTCACTGGTGGACAAAATGCAACAGGGAAAATAAAAGACCTGAGCTTTGCTACAGTGCTAATTAAGCATTTTATTTTAAAAGGTTTCCCTCTTTCATATTCTGGCATGGAATATACAGTACAGAGATGTTGATGGTGTAACTCTGTGCTTAATTAGCCAGCTGTGATACTCAATATCAATAAATATTGAAGGGAAGACTTGCTGTGGGTACCAGTAATATGGATAATTGAGTTCTATGAATAAAAGTACAAGTAGATTAAATTAAGACTACTGTACATCAATAGGGAAAATCTATTAGCATTTATTAGTTAGACTACTGTCTGTGGTCCTTTGTTAGCCTGAGGAAGCCTTTTCAACTGGCTGATCCATGTTGAAAGTTCTGCCTAGTGCTGAGGGCCTTCCGTGAATGCCAAAAGAATGACTCATTCAAATAGAACTTCTGAAATTCAAGTACAGCCCTTTCCCTTGCTTTCCTTTTCTTTTTTTCCTCTTATTTTAAGGAGCAGGCAGTCAAGTCTGAGAAATAATAATTATAATGACAATGGGACTAGAAGTGTTACCCTAATTAATTTGCTGAGAGTTGTTCCTCATTTACCAGTATTGGCTTGTTCTGTCTTGAATGGCAACCCAGGTACCAGAACGAAGATAGAAACACACACAATATGTTGAGTTAGCAGCAAATGCATTTAGTAAGTTTCTGATTTAACTCAGAAGTTAAGTTTATTTGTTTTCTTTTTTAAATCCTGGTGGTTTAAAAAGTCCTAAATTAACATTTTTCTCTGCACTCAGGGGGTCTTATCTGCCAAATTGCGTCTAAGCTGTCCAATTTAAAGCTCAGCAGTATTTTAACTTTCATAGTGTGGGGATAGATTGGGGGGTTCTACAAAAGACTGAGAGGGCCAGACATGATAGCACATGCCTGTAATACCAGCTACTCTAGGAAGCTGAGGTAGAAGGATCACAAGGCCATCTTGGACAAACCTGTCTCTAAATTTAAAAAAAAAATCTTTTAAAAAGCGCTGGAAATGTAGCTGTGATAGAGCACCCCTGGGTTCAATCTCCATAGCACACCTAAAACAAAACAAACATACAAAAAATGAGAGAAAGATTAGAACAGGAGTAGAAGTAACCATATACAAGTCTTCAGCAAAGACCCTGACTTGCCCCTTTTAGGACAGTAGGATTTAATCATCCTTACTTCCCCTGTTCATTCTCTCCGAAAAATGCTGGATTAATGTGGACCTTTTCTCGCCTGACCATCTCAACAGACATAGAAATTTTAAGTAACACCTCCTCTCCGAAGCTGAGAGCTATGATCTTTGTTCATTTTTATACCTCTAGCACTTAGTATGTTGTCTGTACATAATAAAAATTCACCAGCTAGTTGAGGAATGAGTTAGTGGATAGATGGATGGGATGAGTCCTATCACCCTGGATGAAATTGGTATTCTAATAGGTGAATCTACTTATTCAGTTTCATGGTAAAGGGAATGTTCTATAGGAAATTAACCATAAGCAATGACATTTGGGGACTCTGTGCTTTACTTTGGTTCGCCTGCCTTAGGGGCTGTTAATTCTGCCTTTGTTTTCAGGGCTTCCCAGGCTGACAAGCTTCTTGCCTGGATTGCAGGAGCCAAAGGAAATTTGTGGGCTGCAGTGGAACAGTGAACACCTATATTCCCAGCTTTTGCTGAATGCCCACTGTGTGTTAAACACTGCAAGCGTGGTTCCAGGCCAATGAGAGCGAACCTTATAAAGCTTTCAATGATGAAAACAGTCCCCTATGGCACATATGCCATAGGTTTACCACCTCTGTTCTAGGCACTTGGAGAGATATGGATACACGAGTAGCTACTTTGTACCAATTTCAGAACTTTTGAAGTTTAAAATTCCACTCACAGAATGAGTTAGCAACCAAATTCAAGGTCTTCAGAGTCCACTACCTCGTGTTAACAAACAGAGCTTATAGTTATAAAGGGATTACCACTCCCAGACGTGTCATGTAGTAACAACTTATACGGTAGATAGGTTTTCTTGCTATCTACACTTACCAAGCAAGTTAATCAAGATATAAAGGTACCTTGCTGAGGATCATGCAGCTAGAAAGTAACAGAGCAAGAACTCAAACCAAGTTTGAATGAGACTTCAAAGCCTGCCCAAAGATAGGAAAGGATTTGCCAGCTTTTGCTGGAACCCATATCTTCTGGCTCCAACTTTTGTGCACATTTTTTTACCCATTCTGTGGGAGTGCCTTCCAAGAGTCATTTTCTGTTTTTAAAAGTGCTTGTCTCCCAGAATAGACTGTTCATTCCTCCAGGCAAAGAGTGCATTATTTCTACCTTGCCTCTTTCCCTGAGGGCTTGTCCAAGCTTTGCCTGCAGTAAATAATGGCCTGTGATCAACTCCTCAGCTGCTCCTAGAAGCTACCTGGAGCCATACCTTAGTCCTGCACGTGGCTCCCAGGTTGGGAGGAGCCAGGAAGTAGAATTATGGGGAAGTCCCTTCACCACCTGCTCTCTATTTTGTTCTCCGCAACACAGATTGAAGATGGAGGCAAGGCAGCTTTGTCCCAGAAGATGAGGACTGGTGATGAGCTGGTGAATATCAATGGCACTCCATTGTACGGCTCCCGCCAAGAAGCCCTCATCCTCATCAAAGGCTCCTTCCGAACCCTCAAGCTGATTGTCAGGAGGTAAGACACGGGGATTTTGCTGTAAGGTTCAGAGGCCACCGAAACTGCATGGTTGGTAATAATGCACAATAGAGTTATGTCTTTATCATGACAGAGTTGTTTCACAAGAATAGATTTTGTAGACAATGGAAGTAGAATGGCATAGGAGAAAGGGCCTTTGGTTCAAATCCCAGAACTGCTGCATATTAAACTTATCATATCAGATAAACGTACTCTGCTTCTCAAGACTTAGTTTCCTTATTTCCTATTGAGAGGACAAAATGACTCAATACACACTAAGGACCTCCCTAATTCAGCATGTTTCTGTCTGCTCCTCCGTAACAGGCTACCACTGTTGAATCACATATCAACAAGATTTAAATAGATCCCACTGCCAGCCACCATAGGCACAGTGGAGGCTGCTGAGAATTCCAAGAAACTGTCCTTAAGGAGTATACAGTCTAACAGGGGAGGAAAGGACACATATGTGACAACTTGATTAGCAAAAGCTATTTAAAGAAAGAATTAAAGGAGGTTTCACATAGTGGAATATAATGGTTAAAATGATGGTTCAAATTACATTGCTATAAAAAAGAAAGAGATTGCTTGGAAATTGATAGGTTCAAGCATGTTAAGGAGGTGGAATATGAGCTAACGGGTGAGTAGAATTTGAAAAATAACCCATCATAGAGGAGGCACTCTGGGTAAGTAAAGTAAGCAGAAGGAATGTAAGGGCATACTTGGACACAGTTATTCTGGGGCTTCCAAGTCATCTACCTATTAGTGAGATTTCCATAGAGCTTTTCTTTCTTTTTCAGTGCTGGGGATCAAACTCTATGCTTCGTGTATGCTAGGCAAGTGCTCTACCACTGAGGTACACCTCTGACCCCATTATCTTTTTTTTCCCATTTTGCTGCTGCTCCTAGGCTTTGCAGTACTGGAGCTCAGACTCTATTTCTATTGGTTGTTTTCCTTAATCCTATCCACATGCCCAGCTTCTCAATTTGAAATATTTCTATTAGAGTAAAATTTAAAAGCATTTCCCCACAGTCCCATTTCTCCCTCTGGCTGCTGTCCTAGCTTCCTTCTTTTATTCCTACTTAGTCTGAGAACAGTTTACACTCATGGTCTTCACTTCTACATTTACTATCTAGCTTTCTATACCCTGTTATCTGAATTTGAGTCCTCGGAAATGACTGCAATACAAATTATCTGCCACTGGTCAAAGCAAATGGATTATTTTCATTCTTCAGCATACATGATTTATATATGGTGTCCACAACTTTGCTCCAGATTGCGCCCCTTTCAGGCAATTCTTCTTTTTTTTTTCTTTTTTTGGTTTTCTTTTTAAATTTTATTGGTACATTTTAGATATTCATAATGATAGCATTTATCCTACAGAATTTGTACCTGTATATGATATGTCTTGCTTCTTTTTTTCCACTCCCCTCCCCTCCCTTACACCCCTCCACCCCTGATTTACAAAAGATTTGTTTGGATTTTTCCTTCTATTCTCTCTTTTCTCTTGTACCTTCCTTCCTTCCCTCCTCTCCCTCCCTTGTTCTCCTTCCTATTTGAAAATTTCCTTCCCATTTCACAATATCTACTGTACATTTTGATCCTTATTTACATTTTTGGTTTCTCACACCACAGAAACAATGTGGTACTTAAACATGTGTATCAAATTTATTTTACTTAAGATTATGATCTCAAGATGCATCCATTTAGGTAACAATGTCTCAACTTTATCCTTCTTCATAGCAAAGTAGTACTCCATTGCATAGAAATATCACATCTTCTTTAATTGTTCATTGGTTGGTGGGTATTTGGGCTGTTTCCAAGATTTAGCTATTACATACTGTGCTGCTATAAACATGGATGTCCATATATTGCTGCGGTATGATGCTGTTAATGCTTTGGGGAAGATACAAAGCAGGGGACTAGCTGAATCAAATGGAACTTCTAGTTTTATTTTTTTGATGAATCTCTATACTGATTTCTATATTGGTTGTACACTCCCACCAACAGTGAAGAAGGGTTCCTTTTCCCCCACACCCCCGCCAACATTTGTTATTGGTTGATTTCTTGATAATAGCTATTCTTTCTGGAGTGAGATGGAATATCAGAGTTGTTTTAATTTGGATCTCTCAAATGACCATTGATGTTGAACATTTTTTTGTATTTTTAGTTTTCATTTCTACTTCATATGAGAAGTGTCTGTATTTCAGATGTCCAATTTTTGATTTGGTCTTTAAATTTGGGGGATCTTTTTTTTGAGATCTTTATATATTCTACATATTCGTCCTTTGTCTGTGGAGCACCTGACAAAATTTTTTCCCACACTGTAGATTTCCTCTTCACTCTTTTGGATGTTTCTTTTGCTATGCAAAAGCTTTTTAATAAGATGAGAGATCCCAGTTGTTGATTCTTTGTGATATTTGCTGTACAATTGGGGATTTTGTTCATAAAGTCTTTGCCTACATCAAAGTCTTCAAGGATTCCACGTAGTCTATCATCCAGGGGACATAGGACTTCTGCTTTAAAATGTAGATCTTTGATCCATTAGTTTAGTGAATATTCAAAGACAAAGGTCTAGTTTTAATCTTTAGTACATGGAAAGCCAGTTTTCCCAGCACCATTTATTAAAGAGGCTATCTTCCAGTGTTTGGCTCCTTTGTCAAAAATGAGGTGGCTGAGTATATTTGGAGTTGTTTTGCATCTTCTAATTTGTTCCACTGATCCTTGGGTGTATTTTTTTGCCAGTACCATGCTGTTTTTCTCACAGTAGCTTTATAGTATATTTTCAAGTTGGGGATTGTGATACCCCTTGCCTTGCATTTTTTGTTCAGAATTTCTTTTGGTATTCTAGGTCTCTTCAGATTCCAAGTGAATTTTAGGACTGTTTTCTCCAATTCTGTGAGATATGCTATTGGCATTTTGTTCAAGATTGCATTAAATCTGTATAACAATGTTGGAAATATAGCCATTTTCGCTATGTTGGTTCTTCCTAACCAAAACAAGGAATATCTTTCCATTGTCTGGTATCTTCTTTGATCTCCTTTTTCAGAGTACTATAATTTTTAATCTAAAGACCTTTTGCATCCTTTGTTAGATTTATACCTAGGTAATTCGTTATTTTTGGATGCTATTGTGAAAGATATTCCCTTAGTTTCTCTCTCAGTGAGTTTCTTATTTGTATGCTATTGATTTTTGAGTGTTGACTTTGTATCCAGCTGTGTTACTGAAGTGGGTTATTAAATCTAGAAGTCTTTCTGTGGAATTTTTGGGGTCTTCTATGTAGAATATCATGTCATTGACAAATAAGGATAATGTAACTTCTTCCTTTCATATCTTTATTCCTTTTATTTTTTTCTCTTTTCTAATTGCTCTAGTTAATGTTTCCAGAACTATATTGAATAGGAGTGATAATGAACATTCTTGTTTTGTTCCTGATTTTAAAGTGAAAGCTTTTAGTTTCTGTCCATTTAGTATGATGTTGGCTGTTGGTTTCTCATAGATGGCTTTTATCAGATTGCGATAAAGATCATCTATTCCAATTATCTATAGGGTTTTTATCATGATTGGGTGTTGAACTTTGTCAAACTTTTTTTTGTACATCTGTTGAAATGATCATAAGGTTTTTGTCCTAGGCTATGTTAATATGGTGTGTTACATTTATTGATTTGTGTATGTTGAATCACCCCTGCATCCCTGGGATAAATCCTACTTAGTCATGGTTTATATTCTTCTTGATAATTTCTTGCATTTGTTTGCTTGTATCTTATTGAGGATTTTTGTGCCTATATTCATTAGGGAGATTGGCCTGTAATTGTCCTTTTTTGGTTGGATTTTTCTCTGGTTTTGGTATCAGAGTAGTACTTGCTTCTAGAAGTGACTTTGGGAGTATTGCTTCCCTTTCAGTTCTATTAAAGTATTTGAGAAGAGTGGCATTAGGCCTTTTGTACATCTCATAGAATTCCACACTGAATCTATCAGGACCTGAACATTTCTTTGCTAGCAGGGCATCTTCCAGAGCAGCTTCCTAGCCAGTTACAGGAACATGAAATTCCATTATTTCACCTACTTATCCTTTCTTGGTGAGTTCTGTGTATTTCTCCTCTCCTGCATAATAACATCTGCCTCTACCAGGCACTTAGGAGTGATTATAATTATGGCCTTGGAGATCGAATGACCTTCTGGTTTTCATTGTGCAGGAGGCCCTATGCCTTCAGCCTCCCACCTTAGCCCCTGTTGGTGGCTTTCAGTGCATAATTTATGAGGTGATGCTGCCCCCTTGTGGGCAATTTAACCTTTACATATCTACCACCTTCGGCTGGGAATTCCTTACTGTTTGGTCTTAGCTTTTTTCTTAAATTCATGAAAGAGCTCCTAACCCATGAAAAAGTGTGATTTCTGTATTCATGAGTAATTAACACAGTGTTTTATACAAAGGCTGAAGGAGTTTTGTCTCAGTAAGCAACCCAGTGACAAAGGTCCAACTGACCTTTTGTTCCGAGTGTCACTTGTTCCAGGATAAACACAAAGAGAAGGAACTGTAGAAAGTGGCCTACTGTGAAAAGCCAAATCAACTTTTCTTCCTGTATTGCTGGTTTGATAATGGTGGCCTCAATCAGAAAGATTCCTCAAGTGTCACCCTCAATTCTTCTCTTGCCCCAGCTCCTCCAATCCAAGTAACTCCAAGTCTTAGTGTTCCTGACCGGCTAAACATCTCCGTGGTGCCTTTGTTTTATTTCAGTCACTCCCGATTTTTCACCTGAAATACAGTATTTTAAGGGCCTTCCCACTGGTTTCTCAGCACTCATTCTCACTCCCTTCCATTCAGTCCATTCTCAGAACAAGTGTGTGGTATGTCACTTGTCCATTAAACAAACAACCCAACAGGGACAGCAACGATTCAGCCATGTTGTTCTCAAAAGATTCATTTTATTCTGATGGAAGATACAAACCATACTGAAGATATTGCATTTATAAGCCATCTTTTTGCAAAAAACCAGCTTCTA